TCCTTAATGCGTTTCCACGTCGCTCCGGTGCGCGCTCCCCCGGCTTAGACGCGATTTGCGCTCGGCGGAAACTTCGTGCAGGTAGTTTACGAAACACGCTCGCTCCGCGCGGTTTTCCCATGAAGGCCGCGCGCGCGCGTTAATGACCAGTGCGTAGCGACGAATCCAATTGAATCGCTAGGAACAGGAGTGCCATGCGCGAAGGCAACGCGCGGCTCCACGCGAGCTGCGTAAAATCGCGTCTTTGGTGATTTCGAGACTTTGTTGGAACGCCGCAACGAATTTCGCCCCTTCGGGGGAATCATCCCTGTGTGCCGTCTCGCGAGATCTGGACGAGATTGGTTTCTTCCCACGTTGCATCGGGGAATAAAGTAACGAGAATTTTGAAATTGCACGCGCTGTATCTTGTCTATTCAGTTGATCCTTTTTTTGTGTGTTGGTAGCGCTACCAGTGGCCAGTACGTGTCAATTTTCAGGCAGCTGCGACGCTTAGTTTGTTATTTGGCGAGCGAATGAGCAAGACGTACTTCGGTGTGTTTGGCGAAATTTTTTCTGCGGCGAAATGTCGGATCAGTTTGTCTAAAATTTTGTGTTAAAAGTGGAATTAAGTGCAGCGAAGCGTTCAAAATGTTAAAGAAGGCCTTTGGCGACGATACTATGTCACAACCACGAATGGTTTACGAATGGTACAAACGCTTTCACGAAGGCCGAGTAGATGACACGGGGGGTCCTGGGCGGCCTAACACATCCACCAGTGATGAAAACGTGGAAAAAGTTAAAGAGATTGTGCTTGCTGATAGAAGAATCACCGTTGGAGAGGTTGCTGAAGAAATAGGAATTTCATATGGCTCATGCGAAGCGATTTTTACTGATGTTTTGAACATGAAACGATTTATCCAACAGTTCTTGGCGAAACACAACACCGTTGTGAAGCCGCAACCACTTTATTCTCCAGACATGGTCCCCTGTGACTTTTTCCTATTTCCCAAACTCAAAGGACAACGTTTTTCAACAATAGATGAGATAAAGGCGAAAACGCAGCTCCAGCTCAAGACGATACCTAAAGAGACGTTCCACCAATGTTTCTCAAACTGGGAAACTACCTCGGCATAAGTGTGTAATATCATAGGGGGACTACTTTGAAGGAGATGGGATAAAGATTGAAGATGAAATAAATACTTTCCGAGAAAATTAAAAATTCTCGTTACTTTTTGATCAAACCTCGTACGCGACTGTGTGGTCAGCCATTTTCGTTGTAAATGTTACGACTTGTCGCCGATGATAAACTTATTGTCATCATTGTGTTTGTTGGGACGATGAGAATTAGTTTTCTTCCAGTGTGAGAAGGAAAGTCAAGATTTGGTATTGGTCATGTATGATGAAGTAATTACAGAATCAGGAGGAGACCCGAACTTTGTGGTTAGGTTGCGATTATAACGTTATTGAAGATAACTTCGCTACTTTCTGCGGAAACAACAAGAAAATATTCAAAGCGAAATTTTCATCGACTGAAAATCACAAGAAAATATCAAAACCGAAACTTTCTCGGATATGCTCGTCGAGAAATTTTTACTTGCTTTCCAACACAAAATGTCCAACGACCTGAGCCCGCAGTGAAAGTCCAGACTATTACTCGAAAGGTCCGCTTACTCAAAAGAGTCCACAGATCGCACGTCGTACCGCGCATTACGAGAGCGACAGTCTTAATGAACAGACAAGCATCCCTTCGCCGTCGGCGTCGGCGGGTATCGGTGTAATCCAGAACGGATCAAAGGTTCCTCCCCGGCGGCGGTCGGGTTCGCGGAGGGCAATCGGTCAGGTTCGCCAGGTGTCAGGTGGTGGCCGTCGGCTGCAGACGCGCCGAATCACCAGCGACCGCCGCTTCCATTTCCACGTAGGAAGCGACTAATGTCCTTGCTCATTTCCCACGATATATAGGCTGCCGCGCATCGATTCTCGAAGCGCGTCATCCGCTCGCCCGCCCCTCCGTCCGTCCGCTCTCGCCAGCCGATATTAATGTTTAACTAGCGCGATCGTGTGTCTGATACATTACCGTTGCTCCCGGGCTTGAAATTGTTGCACGCGCTCGCGCTTGCGCTGCGTTCTCGCTCGGCTGCTGCGCGCGTTTGCGAAACACGCGCGGCGCTTATTATCGCGATCTGTCGCGTGTCGCGCAGCCGGAGTGACGGCCGAGAGCAATCTGAAGGGAAATCATTCTTATTCCGCGCCGTCGCGTCGATTGTTCGCTAACGTGTCGGGCTTCACGCCGGCAAACTTTTGCAACTCGTGTTGATTTTTCCAGCGGTAAGCTCTTGATCGATATCGAACTTTATATCGATAAACTACCTCTCCCGTTGATTTCTGCTTTGATAAGCTCTTAATTAACGTTGACTTCAGTGCAGATCCCTTCGAGTATATCCTTCGCCTTGAGGCAAGACCTCAAGGTCTTGCCGCATCAAAATGCTGCATAATCCAATTTTTCATTCATTCGGATTTCGCTTCTGAAAAGAATTCCGGCCAACTCCAACGATATATTCCCCTTTTCGATGCATTCTTTTCATTTTCGAAATCTCGACGCACCCTTCTCTTCGGAATGACGCGTGGCTCACGTGGCTCGAGCGCGATCGAAGGAAGGTTGAGGCCGCGCCGCGCCGCCGCGTGCGCGACGAGGCGAGCGACGGCGATTTGTCGTCGGCGAAATGCGCGCGCTTAGCGATGTTGATCGCATTAGGCCGTAATTTCGAATGTTGCGTCGCGCTTATCGACCGCCTCTCGTCGTCAGCACGCATTTCGGACGTCGCAGCGGAGCACTCCGGACTGCCCGCGTTCATGCGCCGTGGGCAGTCTGTCAAATTACGGGCCGGGCACTAATTCCGTTTCTAATAACCGGCGCTGGTCCACAGCCGGAAGCGCCGCCGACGTCCGCGAATCGACGAAATGGCCGGAGCATTGCGGGCAACCCGCGGCCACTCCGGCTGTAAGTTGTACGTAAGTAGAGGACGAAGCACACGACGGATCGGACTGAGACGAGAGAGTAGTCGCCGCGGCCGCGGCGTACATTCGCTTTGTAATTGGCGCGTCAATTCGGACGAAGACCTGATGGCGCGACATATGAAGATATCAGAATTCGAGAACATTGAAGTAATTTCATTACGGTAATGATGGCTAAAGTGCGGCAAAGAAGCACTTTTTCACTCAAGCAATTCCGCGCTGATTATCAGCGCGAGTAACGTTTCCGCTCAACACTGCCGCAGGATCTTGCCAACGAGAAAGATGCAGCGAAAGATCTGCGTATCCTTCCTTCTTCATAAATAAAAGCTGTAATGTGTGCATATTTTTGGCGCGTGATCTCAAATCTTGCTAATCCCGATTTTAAGTCTCAGAGTTTCCCGTTGTGTTGAATAATAAAAATACCCCCAGAGATTGCGGAACCCTGTTTCTCCGTCTGGTTATGCTCGCAGGGAAGAGAAGGGGAGGAGGGTGGGGAGTTCGCGAGACTCGCGACGCATATCCTTACGAAAGAAGCAACTTCATACGCCATATCTCCTAATTCCCCCTACGAAGGTCCGCCTGACGTTTTCCGCATTACGCGCGACGCAACAGATGTTCTCGCGCGAACCGCACGCAAGCGAGGGCAAGGGCAAGAGGGTGCGAGAAAGAACGAGAGAGAGAGAGAGAGAGAGAGAGAGAGAGAGAGAGAGAGAGAGAGAGAAAAGAAGGGGGGAGGGGAGGACTTTGGAGCCGTTAAACTGGAGCGCGGGCCCGTGTAAACTTTGGAGTTGTTGCGCGAATATTATTCTTATTTTATTCGCCGAGGGCGGAAAATTTCCTCCGCACTTCGCGGTTGTTCGAGACGAGCGTTTCCCGCCCGACAGACAGTGGCTGAAACTCCGTCGGCGAGAAACTCAACTTCCTGAGAACGGCCAGGCTTCTCTCTTTCTCCTCCCTCCCATCCTCCCTCCCTCCCTCTCTCTCACCCTCCTTCTTTCCTCCTGTGTTATAGAGAATCAATTTTTAGTTGTAATGAAATTCATTAGTCCGCCAATATGATTTTGTTTTTATTCTACGCAACGTGAGGAGAATCAGTCATGGGGATCGAAACTTGTGCTTTTTCGAATATTGTGTTACATTTCGTCGTGAGAGCGTAATTTCTTCAGCATTAAGACCAAGTACAAGAGAGAGGGAGATATGTCGAGACACGGCGCTTATTGAATTGAAGCGTGGCTGAAAATATGCCAAAGACAGTAAAAAAGTCTTGTAGCTGACATTTCGAGCTGCCAGGATTCGCTCGATGCAAAAGTTCGCCGCAACTCGCATACCGAGACATACCGGAAGCATGTTCGCTCCGTTCAGGAAAATTTCCGCAGAACATTGCTGCGCCTTCCCGACTGAATTTACAAGCTTCCAAATATACAATTGCGAAAGTTGTACAAACAGCTTTCTATATATGCGCGTGTGCGGGGCTTACGTTTTCCGCTGAATACGCTCAAAGATGCAGCGCGCGTTTGTACAGGATCAATATGTACCGAAAATACAGAAAGGACTTTTGACGGTCGCCACGTTGCATCTCGTCATCCGCTTCGTCATCCCCTTAATAAATTTCCTAAGATATTAGTGTGATTCTTCGCGACGGAAGGCGTGCCTTGCAGAATTTGCAAGAGCACCCCGAGAAGAAGAAACGAATCAGCGGGCTTTCGGGCATCAGCCCGCAGCAGAAATGCAGAAGCCAAAAGAGGGTCCTCGACGGGGGTTAAGACATTCTTCAAGTCGCAGCAAGTGTTTCTTGCGTCTTTCGGACCTGAACCCGCCGATGATCCATCCGTTTCTCCTCGTCCCCCTCGTCACACGAGAGTGCCTCCTATCGCCGTTGTGGGGGAGGGGGGGGGGAACGGCGCAAGCAAACGCGCGCGCCAAGTCGATAACCCAAAAAAGGAGGAAGAAGAAAAATATACGCGAGAGCGGCGAACGGCGTAAAGAGGTCACGTTTCTTGTGCTTTCAGGTTCGTTGGGCACGTCGGTGTTCGACACGGACGTATACCTGGTCGGGGCGAGCGGGGGCGTTTACGCCCTCCTAGCGGCGCATCTAGCCAATGTCCTCCTCAACTACAACAATATGGAATTCGGGATAGTTCGGCTCATCGGCATCTTCGTCATCGGTAAGTGGACCTAACTTCCTCGATCGCGCGTCGGAACCCCACAACCCTATCTATCTCTCCACCCTTCGGCGGGGCCGGTATCTCCGAGAGCGAGAGAGCCGCTTCCGAGGGCGATCGCGATCGACCATTGGCGCCGGCGCGGCGATGCCGCGAATTAATCAAGCGCCGGCGTGAGAATCGAGTCTTGAATGTTGGCCGCCAGCGCGAATTCGCCGGCACCGGCTGTGATGATCGCGGCGGACGACATTGGCGTCTTCGGCAATTTTGGCGGCGCGCTGCGGCAGAAAAATTCGACTCGGGCAACTGGATAGCAGCGGCGAGAAGCCGACGCTCGAGAAACGATATATCTCCGTTACCGCGCGCGCGCCGGACATTCAGAGCTGCGTGAAAAGCTGGTCGAGAGAGAGAGAGAGAGAGAGAGAGAAAGAGAGAGAGAGAGAGCGATTGATGAGTAGAAGTCTCCCGCGGGGAGTCTTTCTCCGTCGCCGAGTTTTCGGCTGGCTCTCGGGCAACAGAAAATTCACTTACGCTCACGGGCTTGTTTCTCTCCGTGTACAAAAGGGAGAATATTTCTTCGATCTATTAGCTCTCTCCTAGGGAAGAGACGCCGGGGGAACAGGACGATTTTATCAGCTCGGGAATGAAGGAACTTTTCCGTACGCATGTCAGATTGGCAGCACCCGACACGAAGATGACGGTAAATGTAAACAACCGAGATTTAGGCAACAAGCAGATTGAGATCGATCGATTAGAGAGACGGAACAATTTTTCTAAAGGCAACTTAATTTTGGAGATGCTTGAAATAATCAACTGTGATATTAAGTAATTAACTTAAAGAAAAGATTGTTGACAAAATAAGACACCCCCCCCCCCTCCATCAAATGGTAAGTTCGAGCAGCTTGCGGTTCCGAAGGCTCTTTGCGCTTATCGCACTTGAAGAAATTTTCCGCCTCCTCCGTGTCCTTCCCGGGGCAACGAAAGAAATTCACTCACATCCACGAGATTGTTTTCCCCGCGTACTTACGTCTTATTGCTTACGTTGTTTCTTTTTCTTCCCTACAGTTTGCGTAAGCGACAAAGCGACTGTCTCTCGGCCGGAGAGACACGACCTTAAGAGGGAGTGCCGCGCGGCAGCGGCTCGGCCGCTCCAAGGGCGAAACGCAATCTCAGAACCCGACGCCTATGGCGTCGGCATGGCGTAATAATAGCGCGATATTGGCAAAGACGTAGAACTCTAGTATCGAGGGCCGTATAGCACGTAATCTGACCGCCAGTGTACGTGCGCATTATCCAGTTCTAGTGGCCCTAGAGTCGCCTCGAATTCACCCGGACGGAGCCTCTCGAGTCTTCAATAACCTTGTTTAAGGGGTTGATTACCGTCAGCGCGGATTCGGATATCCGCCGCCGCTCCTCTATCTCCCTCTCCCGCCCGCCAGCCCCGCCGCTCCGTCTCGCCGTTCCCAATATATATTCGCATAGTTTCTGTCCGCGGCTAGTAACAGCCCGGGCTGTTTCGCTCCGATCCACCGCTTCGACTTGGATTACATCACAATCCCCGCGCGAGCTTGACGAGCGGCGGAGCTTGATCGATAAATGCGCGCGGTCCCTCTCACGACGCGGAAGCGGGTCATCCTGGCGGTTGCGAATGCAAATGACGCTTCTCTCTCTCTCTCCTTCTCTCTCCCCCCCTCTCCCTCTATCTCTCTTTCTCTTTCTCTTTCTCTCTCTCCCTCCTGCTCTCGGGGTGTCTCGCCCCCGCTCCGGTAACGCCTCGAGACACGAAGAAAATACGCCGCTGTCAGCCGCAATCAGAACACTCCGTCCGTCCGTCTCCTCCTCTCATCTCTCCCGCCGGCCGAAGGAACTTGATTTGAATTTTCATATCTTAGAAGTATTTTCGAACACGCCGCTCGTGTTCGCCGCTTCTGTTTAGCTTAACCGGCGCGTCTCCCCCGCGACGACGCGATTAATTGTTATGCACTGCAGCTGCGTGAAGCGCCGGCTCGGTAAGCTGCATTAAAGTGGTCGTTCCGTAAATTCACTCTCCGAGGAATCTTCGAACATTTTAACAGTGTGAAAACACTGTTACATCTGTGTGCATACGCGTCAACATGAGTGTCGCTCAGTCGCGACACAATGTGAAGCGCTGCAACTTTGTCGCCTCGTCTCGATATGCTCCTTCTGAAATTTCAATTTCCTCGTTTTTTCCCCCCCCCCCCCTACAACCTTCTCTCATTTTGTCACCTCCTTTTTGCCCTTTTCTTGCCGACCGCTCTCACCGGCGAGAAGCGCGGAGGGCGCGACGGGCGAAACCCGTCGTTATTCTAAAGTTTTAATTAAAAGATAGGTGTTCGCGCGCACGCTCTCGCGCTCCGTGATCACCGCCGAGAGAATTTTCCCCGGCGCCGACGGGATTGTGTTTGCCGCGCGCGCGCGCGCGCGCGGCGAGAACAGGTGGCTGTCCCGTCAACTTTTCCGAGCGAGCACGGTGTTTATCGAGTCATCGGGTTCGCGCGCTACGCGCTACGCGCCGGATCGACCGGAATGAAGAAGGATGCGGTGGCCGAAGCCCGCTAAACGGAAGCAGCCGCTTCCGTCCGCTGTCCAGCAGCAGGCCAGGGCAGCGGGAAAGTTGGCGAGGGAGGTTGAAAGTGTGGGGATTCTCGCGCGCGACGGGCAAATTTCAGCTTCACACGCGTGCAAATCGGGGATCAAGCCGACACGTGTAATTATTCCCCAGCGAAGTCCGCGCGTATCGGTAATTAACGATAAATTTTTATGTGCGCGGAGCGGAGGGGCTTTTCGGGAATCATTAAAAGCGTACAATCCCGGCTACGTAGCTCGACTTTCGTCTGGCAATCTCGCCGAATATTACACGCCGGTACGAAACGCCGGGACGAAAATGGCGCGGAAACGAGGGTGTCGCTTATTAGAAGAATAAAAATCAGATTCGTAATCGGAGAATCCGCCTCATTGTTAATCCTGGGTTAAATCCTGCCCGGTGGAGATACAAAGTGGCACAAACGGGATCGACGCGAAAAAAAGGCAGAAGAAGAAGAAGAAGAAGAGGAGGATGAAGAGAAAATAAAGGTGAGCAAAGAAAGACAGCCTCGCCGCGTCAGAGTCAAACGGAAACAACAATGCGAGAAAATCGAATAACACGATAAGACAAAGCTGATGAAGGAGAATATGCAGAAAAACGCGCAAAAGGAAACGACAGAGAGAAGAGGGAGGGAAAGAGAGAGAGAGAGAGAGAGAGAGAGAGAGAGAGAGAGAGAGAGAGAGATCTTCATGGAATATTATATAACAGTCATAGATACTTATTGCAGTCGAGGAAATAAAGTTTCGAGAGCGGATAGACGGAAAAGTCGGGGCTTTGCCGGTGTTATGGTGTAACTCAGTCTCGCTATCAGAGTCAAACGGAAATAACAATGTGAGGAGATCGCGTGCTCGGCAAGAGAGAAAGGAAACATTGTACAGGACGCATCAGAAGTGGCTCGCGCTCGCGCTGGTGGCGCAGTTACAAAACTGCCCGACGCGAGGTCCGAAGTTGGATTCCCCGTCGGCGCAAATTTCCGCTCAAATCGCAGGCTCAGCTCGCCTCTCTCATCGACAGGCGCGAAGTTTCTCCTGGCGAACGTGCAACGAAATCATCCTCCGTGTTCCCTCGGACTTTTTCCCTCTCGTCAAATTATCTCGACTCTTCCCGCGGGAATTTAACACCTCCTGTTGAGCGGCCCTGTAAGAAGTGTAATGTAATTTACATCCGCTCTCGGCGAGCTCAAAAGAAGAAGAGGAGGAAAAACAAGAAGAAGAAGAAGAAGAAGAAGAAGAGGAGGAGGAAGAAGAAGAAGAAGAAGAAGAAGAAGAAGAAGAAGAAGAAGAAGAAGCCGCCGTTGTGAGCGAAGTCAGACGCGCAAGTTCTCTCATTGTCAGCGGCTGACGCTGAAAGTTGATCCGTTTGCGCAAAGCTCATTTCCACATTAACTAACGAAGAAGAAGCGAATTCCGCGGCAGCGAGGCCGCCGCTACGGTCATCGCCGGAAAAAAGCTGCTGAGGAAGCTCGCGGGAAAGCTCTCTCTCTCTCTCTCTCTCTCTCTCTCTCTCTCTCTCTCTCTCTCTCTCTCTCTCTCCCCCTCCCCCTCCCCCTCCCCCTCCCCCTCTCCCTCTCCCTCTCCCTCTCCCTCTCCCCCTCCCCCCTCTCTCTCTCTCTCTCTCTCTCTCTCTCTCTCTCTCTGCCCTCAACGACACGACTTCGAGAGCTTCTCGCCAAATAGCCGCCGGCTCCTTCCACTTTTTCCGCTCTGTGCGCGCTTCCGCTCTCTTGCTCCCCCCGCTCTCTTGTCCTCCTCCTCCGTTTCTCTCCTTCCCATCCACGTGCTTTTCTTGTCGCGTTTGCTATGCGCTATTCTCATCGGGGCTCCGTTACCCCTTGTGGAACTCGGCACAAGCTCGGGGAGGAAACATCCTCGAGACGGAACACGCCACGCGATGAAACAGCATTATCTTCTTCCCGGATTCGCTCTTCCACGTTGATTCTTGCGCTGTACGCGCGTCACTCTTAAATTAATCCCCCGGCCGCAAGCGAATCCGCGGCGCAAAGCGCGCGCGGAATTCGCCGGCGCTGCCGTTGTAAACCGGATATATACGCGCGTGCCCGGGGCTAAAGTAATTTTTCTTAATGGAATGTGATGTGTCACACGGGCGTATTTTCTCGCGTAAACTGTATTCTCCTCGTTGATCCGCGTGTAGAGCTTACCGGCAAGTCGGTACTTTACTTTTATTCTTCATTCTTTGACGTATCGCGACGTGAGAATTAAATATCTCGCGCAATATTTACGTTTCATTAATCTCGGTTTAATATCTTCATGTCGAGAATGAACTGAAGAATAAATGAGGAAGGATAATGGGTACAAATAACTGCGGACACTCGAGTGATTCGTGAAATCTTCGAGTATCGAGAAAATAGCCGAGAAATTCGGAATCGAGATTAAAATTCACGACGGCAGCCGGCGCTACAAGCTGAAGAAAAGAGAGAGTGCGAGAGAAACGGTCGGATCCACCAAATCGGTAATCCATCGTGTTTATTTCAAACAAATATCGTATCCGCTGAACGAATTTCATATTGGTACGACAATATCGCCGTATCGGTGCAAGCGCTGAGCACATCGCAATCATCGAACCAATTAATATTTCGTTACCAGTGATTATATAATTTATTCAATCAACTTAATATTTGCTCTCGAATAAATCTCGTTCGTCCGAGCGAAGTTTTGTTGACTCCATTACTCATTTTTCTCCCCTCAGAGTGCAAATTATCGAATTTACTTGGGAATCGGATAAATTGAGAATGTATTCGCGCGCGCGATACACGGTAATTCAAAGCGAGCTCGACGTGCCAATATAAAAATAACAATACCAATCCAATTAGTTAATATTTCAATGCTCTACTTATTAAAACGGACCTCTATGTAATACCGCGATTTTTCTTTAATCATATAGTTACTATGCAATACATGTGCGGACGTTAGCAAGATTTTTATAAAGCACATTTTCTTTATCTTAAAATAGTCGAAAGTGTTCTTACGTTGTCTTCTATATTGAGTAACTTCTTGTTACAAATGTTGAGCTTATTTTTAATAGATGCGAATGCTGAAAATGAACTGACATGATTTTCACCCAAATGATCATCGTATACATCAATTTTACGTAGTATTTACGTAATTGAAGTATTAGATATCTGAATATTCAGACGCGCGGATAGCCGCCGTAGTGTTCGTAAATTGCAAAATCTCTCGCATGTCGAAATATTCCTAAATCATTCCATTTCATACGGTTCATATGCTGAAAGCCGATTGGCGCGAATATCATAGAGCGAGCTTTTCCGTCGGGTGTCTGTAGCTGCCAACAGTGTTGAAAGGGTTGATTTAATAATCTATATCAGCTTGCGCCAGTTACTAATTATATTGATCTGCCACAACCAAAATGCAGATTTATTCATGAGGGAGACTAATTTATAAAATCGGAGTTCAATAAATTCAATAAGTAAAACGAGAATATAGGCGAGTATTTCTATAACGGAATAACCAACGGCTATAAATGCTGTTAATTCAATTAAGCGTTAGGTGTCGAGAATGGGAACAAAGGAGGAGGTAAATTGAGGAAGATTAATAGAAATTTGAAGTCATATAAAACAATAAGGCGTATTTATTCAATTATTAATTTTTATTCAATTAAGAATTATGGCATAGATAATTTATTGCCGAAAATTGGCCAACTTTGACTGGCGATTACTTCGCGAAAAATTATTGTGGACTAATGATTTTTTTTTTTTTCAAAATGAAGCTTAAAGTCTCTACTTTAAGAATGTATAAAATATCGTACGGAGCCGTGGAGAATACGGAGAGAGTTTGTTTGCCGATGCTAGGAATGTTGGCTGTGGTCGAAATACGAGCCAGGAGCTGAAAAACATGCGCGTGTGTGTGTGCGTATGTCAACAAACACTTTTGCCGCTGCTCCACTATGCTTTCCAGTCACTTAATCTGCCGGCCAGTACTTGACCCGAAGGTCAAAAACAACGATATTTTTGAAGAGCTATAACTTTGCGAGAAAAAAATTGTAGCGACTCCATTTCTTTTTCAAATTGAAGAGGAAGATTTGAACTTTATGACGATGCAAACGGCGTCCCCGAAAAAAATTGTCCACGTCCGTGCATTCCGTCAAACTTTGCAATTTTCAGTATACCAAACATACCCTCAGGTGTCAGGGGTTACAGGAGTAGGGCTGCACCGCATGCAAAAAATGGAGATACATTCTTAAAGCAGAGACTTCAAGCTTTGAAAAAGAAATCATTGGTCTACAATAATTTTTCGCGAAATAATCGCCAGTCAAAGTTGGCCAATTTTCGGCAATAAATTATCTATGCCATAATTCTTTTGAGCAGTGTATTTGTTTCATCTATTTATTATTTTTATATTCGTACTATTTTTTATTTATTTATTATTTGTGAATTTTGTCGCTATATGGCCGCATTCATAATTATACATATTCACAACGCATCTTTTTCCGTGCAGACACGTATAATTGCGTATAATGATTCTGCAGCCATATAGATACAAAAATGTATTTAAAAAAAAATGCACACAATTATTTTCCCCTTGGTACATATTACTGTTTCGCCCCCAAAGGACCTCGTTTCCCATGAATAAATTAAGTTAGATAAGATCGAATTGAACGAAAGTAGAAAGAGTTTTCGAGCTTTGCCGGGGTGGATCTTTTCGGCTGAGAAAGAGAGGTGGCGAGCCGACGAATCCGAGGCGGTCGCTGGCGACACGAATTCAATTACCTTATCTCTTTGATTGCAGCGAGCGCCGACGTGGGATTCGCGATCTACGACAGGTACGCGGCGGAGCAGATGGGCCCGCCGGTGTCGTACGTCGCCCACTTGACGGGCGCCCTGGCGGGCCTGACGATCGGCCTGCTGGTGCTGAAGAACTTCGAGCAGCGACTGCACGAGCAACTACTCTGGTGGGTCGCCCTGGGTGTTTACGCTGCGTGCACGATTTTCGCGATCATGTACAACCTGATGCATCCGGACTATCCATGACGCGAGGTCAGCTTCGCGTACGGCCAACCGAGGCACACGTAACGCGAAGCTGATTATCCCCGGCAGCAGAGGAAGAAGAAGAAGAAGAAGAAGAAGAAGAAGAAGAGCATGAGGAAGAGGAGGGGCAGCAGAGCTCGACGGAGGAAGCGAGGGCGAGCGCTATCGATGTCGAGCGTCATCGAGGAGAATCGCCGAGTGTCGCGGCGACGTCTTCTCGATAACGCACCCGACCGTGAGCCGGATCGTCCTCGAGATATCGCCGACGAGGCTGACCCCGACGACGACGACGACGACGACGACGACGACGACGACGTGAGTGAAGAGAACGAGAGACACGCGGTGATGACGTCTTCAGGCTCGACCGTCGTCCTCCCTCGTCGGCCGGCAGAACGTGACTTTGATCGGCCAGCAGCGCGTCGTGAGGATCGCCAAGTGATAGTTTCGTAGCACATATTTTCTTCCACAGGCCGGCCTGTTCGCGCGCTCGCGGCAGCGAGAAGAGAAGAGAGACCCGAGCGAGCTACTTCCGCTGAGAGGAAGCCGAAGAAAACGATGCGCGCACGTCTCGCCTTCTCGCGGGCTCTCGAGGACTGCTCGGCCCGCAATTCCGCAGGAGCCGCCCGCACATGACCCCGTCGAGGCGGAACGCGGATGATGCGCGCGATCGCGAGGAATGGACGTCGTCGTGGCGGCGGCCGCGTCGTCCTGCGCGTCCCCGCGATCCTGGCGAGTAGAGATGCGCGTCGTTCTCGGCGGACGACGACACGGTGCACGGAGGAGCTGAGGAGGACATCTCACACCGTCTTCGAGGGAGGAAGAGGAAGCATTCGAGGAGGGGGAGGAGCCGCGCGATCGCGAACCTAGTCGTCCCATCCCGTCGCGCGCTCCGCCGCATTTCCGAAGAGAAGAACCAAAGAACCGAGCCGGAGACGAGATCGGCCGGTCGGCCAGACAGACAGCTAGACAGCCGCACGGAAACTCTCCCAGAGAAGGACACTTCTACCCGAATAAGACGGGAGGGGGGGGGGGGAGAGAGCAAGAAGGCGATGAAGATTCGCTCTCGCGACTTCCATCGCTCGTCTATTTCCGCGCGACGCCGGCCGCTGTCGTCCCCGGGAAAACCAAAGAATCATACTCAACCGCGAACGACGCCCACCATCCTTTGTCTTCGACGATGCTTAGGAAGAAGTCGAAGAGGAAGAAAAAGATGAGAGATGGACAGGAAGAAGTTTCCTCGCTCGGCAAGGTGAGAGGGGCGCAGAAAGAAAGGGACCAGAAGACGGGAAGATTGGACAACAACAGCAGCAGTAGTAGAAACATCCAAGTGGAGCAGCAGAAGCCAGGTGGAAGAGCGGGAGGACGTCCCTCGGGACCTAATGGATCCTTCGCGGCCGATGAAACATTGTACAAATGACCACGGCGGAGAGGCGGACGAGATGACGACGACGACGACGACGACGACAACGATGACGCAGAGACAAAAAGCAGCCGAGCTTTTTGCTAGGTCTTCGGCGGACATCTCATCGACACCCCGTCCCGGAACCATCGACTCGGAGGACTCGCGAGGCGCACACGAGGAGAGGAGGAGCAAAGTCGCACGAAACTCAACAAGGAGTCTCACCCTGCCGGGGGATTTCCCCCGAGCGCGAAGCGAATCGGCTGCGAAGCGACGGGAAGGGGCCAACACCCTGCGGGAGATCGAAGAGCGATGAGCGGAAGAGGAGGATCGCTAATTGATTGCTAATTCGTCGAGATAGCGCTGCAGTTCGAATTGCAGAAACAATTGGGAGGTGTCCGTGAGGAAAAAGCGGCGTGGCGGCGTGAGGCGATTTATGAGACGCACCTCAGACGATTAGTTTCTTCGGATCGCGATGTCAGCACCGCGCGGAGGAGCGACGCGAGTTACGCGCGCACGGCAGGAGGAGAGAATTCATTCGGAAGTAGAAAAGTTTGCTTTTTAGCTGGCGTTCCTCTTCGACTTTCGTACTTGTAGTTACCGGGCGCTCGCGCTCCGCGCTCGTTTTTTCCCCCCCACGGACGCCTCGTAACCACTCTGTGTCGAGTCCTATCCTATCTGTTGTTATTCTCGTTAGTGCGCTCACCAGAAGTCGCGGTCTCGCGCGTAGAGAGGAAAAGAGAGAGAGAGAGAGAGAGAGAGAGAGAGAGAGAGAGAGATATGCAAACGAAGAAATCGCAACGAGGACTCGTTACCATTTCATCATTACACGCGCATATATCGTGAGATCGATCACTAGTAAGAGAGCGCGCAAATCCAGCGGGTCATAAAGCTCATAGCCGAGTGGCCGTTACATTTTTCCCCGCGTCATCGTTAGCAAAGCCAGCATGCGAGTCCTCCGCGGAGGAGACAACAAAAGACCGAAAAAAGAAAGGGAGAAAAAAGAATACTCGCGAAAATCAAAACCCACTCTGACTGACCGACCGACGCGCGACGGAGCGGCAGGAACGCCTATCAGTGTGAAGAGATTTATTTACGATTTCTAAACAAACTCGGAAGAACGGGAAAGGAGATGCTGTGGTATCAGTCACTCCGGTTGGTCGACATTGGCGTCGTAATTGGAATAAATCTTCTCAATTCAGTGACAATATTTTTGAAATTAAATCGTTTCTCTCTTTCAATGGTATAAGTCGCGATGGAGGGAATTTACTCCAGTCGTAACGTTATTGACAAAAAAAGTTGCTGGTTGTCCTTCTTTATTTATTTATTTATTTTTTTTTTTATGATTCTCGGAACGCATCCGTCTTGTCCAGCGGAAGTTGGGAAACAAATTCTCCCATTGTACAAGACGGATACGTTCCGAAACTCGCGCAAAAAATAGCGGACAACTTATCCGTCCGCGCGCGCGATTGAGCGCTTGGCTGTCAAGGTGACCGATTCGCGATCCGAAGCAACACTTCGCAGTCGCTTCGGACCTGCCGGCTCGTCCGGCGTTTCCGAAACACCGTGTATACGATGCGAATCGAATGGCGCTCGAAACGCTTCGGACGCGTTCCGCATCGCGCGTTATCGTTGGCGTGGTCGGCGTGTTTTCAGCCCGAGCCCGAGGGAGGAAGGGAGGAGAGAGGATGGCTTCCGGCTGCCTCCCCCTGCCCGCGACGGGTGTAATAATGCGTAATGTAACGGCGACCGAGGCCAGGACACAAAACATCGGCGACAGCGGTCGCGACAACCGGTCGGCCGACCTGTCGCTTTTTGGCCGCAGCTCGCGCTTTCGACAACGGCCGCTCGTTAATATCCTCGCGGAATCCCCCCGACGGCGTTATCTGCTCGCGCGATCATTAACGCGCATTAATTGTATACCGAATGTAAATAGCTGTATATAACGTAGGGACGCGCCGTTTGTGTGCGTGCGTGTGCGTGTGTGTATCAAGCGCGAACGAGCGCGAGCGAGCGAGAAGAGGCGAGAGGAGGCGCGCGGGGGTGAAACGTGCGGCGGGAGGAGGGAGGGGGGGAAGGGAGGATAGAGGAGGAGAAGACGGAAGGAAAAGACGTCGAGTCGGGTCACAGTCTAGTCGTTTCGCGTCGTTGTCTCGTAAGTACATACATAATTATACATATTGTATTTAAACGGAAGAGAGGGGAGCCGCACATTCTCGGGAGAGCACGCTTAGTGTACATAGTCATACACACACACATACACATGTAGACACACACACACACACATACACATACACACAGGACACACACGTACACGAAAGATATGTTCCTCACACCTCTGATTAATTTATCATCGCGCCGTCGTTCCCGAAGTCGTCGGATCGAGCGACCGCCTCTGCGACGTCTACAACCCAAGCGATATCTATAGTATCGATAGCTCGTATCCAAGCGACGCCGTTTAGCGTCAATTTGTGGCTGTCCGATGGCCCGTCCGGGCGGTTTCGCCGCGCATTTGGCCGTAAATAGTTATGGCCGTCTGATGTCCGTTGAAGGGATATTTATCCCTTTCGCGGGAGCCTCGTTCGGCTCAATCGATCGCGAATCGAATCGAGGATCGCGCAGATACCTGCCCCTGTGCGTACGAGGTCGTTGCAGTTGGGGAAAGGACGTGGGATAGAAACAGAGAGGCACTTTCCTTTCTCTGTAGAATCGAAAAGAATACTGAGTAATGAGATAGTTTGAAATTTTTTTGAATCACGAGTGCTAGTTTTTCTTTCTTTGTTTTCTTCTTTTTAATTTTCCGCAGTCATCGAGCAAGGTAGTTGTAGCTTTTGAAGAAAGAGAGGAAAAGAGAAAGATATGTAAGTAACATTTTCGATTTGGCAGAGGGAAGATACGCATTAATCATCTCCGATCTGCAAATCTGCCCTTCGTGGAACCGCCAAAGATAACACGACGAGTTAATTGGAATTTGCGCGAATCTTTCGTTTTGTCGGTCGATTAAAGAATCACAAACGTTCGTTTCCGCTGTCGGGCAAGGGGATTCTACTAATTGAAGGAAGAAAGAAAGACGCGCATGCACAGAGAATGTCCTACGTATTCGACGAGCCTGTTTCTTTGTAAAATCGCGGAAGACAGTAGGACGAATTGTAAAAAAAGATACGTGGTGAACATTCGGCGAGTGAGAAAGCACGTCGAGAGCGTTAAGCACGGCCGCGAATACAAACCGAAGTCTGTATAGCTAGTTCAGATAACGCGTCTCTCCAGCGTACACGTTGTTTAGTTTGCCGACGATAACCCGACGCACTGCCTATTTTGTAATACGACTTAACGCGCGCGCGACCTCGTCAGGACGAGCGAGAAGAAGAGGAAAATACGCGGGTCGCGCGCGCGTCGCGAATTCCGTTTCGAACGAGCGGACGTCGGCGTTTTCCCCGCTCCACGCTTTTCCGGGCGGGAAAGCCCGACGCCTGTCGCGCATTCGACTTTGTGTGTGTTCTTGCGTAAAGTAGTGATTAATTAACGATTAATTAATTACCGCGTCGTGCGATTCGTAACGCGAGACCTACCTATCTGCCCTGCCGCGAAGAAATCCCATATTTATTTCCCCATAAGAAGAGAATCACAGCTGTCGTCGTTCGCGGGTCCCAGTTTCCTCTCTCTCTCTCTCTCTTTCTCTCTCTCTCTCTCTCTCTCTCTCTCTCTCTCTCTCTCTCTCTCTCTCTCTTTCTCTCTCTTTCTCTCTCTTTCTCTCTCTTTCTCTCTCTTTCCCCATTCTCCTCGATACTTTTTGGCGTCTCTTCGTCGAAGAACGAGCAGGATGCGAGACGCGTGAGGAATCGCGCGACGAGTGACGATTATTTTACTTATGCGGTTAGGTTAACGTATTTCACGTTCGCGAAAAAGAAGAGAGAGAGAGGGAAAGAGAGAGAGAGAGAAAGAGAGCGCACGTGTGAATGTATTTGTTTTTGTGTTTGTATGTGTGCATCGATACATCTCGTGGTTAGATTTTTCCTCGTCGCGACGTGGAAAATCGCGTTAATTATTATTATTATTATTATTATTTATGTTGTACCAGCATTTCGCGCGCAGCGTAACAACGCTAAGCATACGATACCAAATGATCCATAAGGCTTGACGTAAAGCGCAGTAATATATTATTATTATTATTATTATTATTATTATTATTATTATTATTATTACTATTACTATTACTATTACTATTACTATTATTACTATTATTATTTTATTATCACTATTACAATTTCTATTATTATTCTCGTTAACTATTATCGCAGTCGTGTCCGCCGTGGGCACGAAGTGGAAGGTAATTTCTAGCGCTGGCGTGCGGCGCGGCCTGTGAATAGGCTGAAAGGTCGGGCGAGTCCTCGCAGGCAGCAGCTCCGGGAACAGCGGCGCCGAGAGGGCGCGAATCGAGCGCGAGCGCGAGCGAGAGATCAAACGAGAGTAATTAACGATGCTAGTCAATTAGTACCCGCGCAAGCAGCTAACGCCAGGTCCTACCTAGCTTAAGATACGGCCGCGCCGGAGTCCCTTTAAGACGGCGAAAGAAGGTCGAGACCCCGGTGACGCTGAAGAAGGCTGCCGATGAGAAGAAAGAGAGCGAGGGAGCGGGAGGGAGACAGAGAAAGAGAGAGAGAGAGAGAGAGAGAGAGAGAGAGAGAGAGAGAGAGAGAGAAGGGGGACAGAGAACGGAATAAGGAGGTGGCTGAGGGCTCCTTAGGGAATTTAAGGGTTCGAGAACACTGAGAGCAAGAGCACGCTGAAGAGCGTCCAAAAGGTGGTCGTTCAAAGAGTCGAGGAGAGGAGAGAGAATAAGAGACAAAGAGAGAGAGAGAGAGAGAGAGGGGGGGGGAGAGTTTCGACGGCCTGCCGGCTGGCTGTGTCAGTCGAGTGTGTGCTTCGCGCAAACGCGCGGGAATGCAAAGGGGTGCGGAAGTGACGCGACCCCCTGAAAAGCGGTTTCAGCGTGGTCGCGACTCCTGAACGGCGACGATTAGGCGGCGATGAGGAGCTCGCGAGCGCGCGCGCGCGCGCGGCCGCGCTTATCGGTGGCCGCGAGTGCTCCTAATTGCGATCGAATGGCCGGCAGAGTGTAAAGTAAGAACGTGTTCTTTCCGCGTTATTAAAGGGGAAATCGAAATCCGCCGCCCCTGTGCCGTTTTCTACGAGTTTAATCACGCGATGTTCTCTCGCCCTTTCCCTTTCCTTCCTTCCTTCTCCCCCCCCCTCTCTCTCTCTCTCTCTCCCCTTTTTTCTTCTTCTTTTTCCCTCTCTTTCTCTCTGACGCGCGTTCGCGTAACAAATGAGACAGGAAGGAGAAATTGATTCGGTCGAAAGATTAATCTGAGTAAATCCTGTCCCCCCCCCTCCTCTCTCCCTCCCTGCCCCTCGAAGAGCGTCATCGTCCTTCCAACGTTAATACGACGCGACAATGTTGCCGCGACGATCAACGGCACGCACGGCGGCCGATCAAATCGCGCAATGTTAATCGGGAGGGTCTTTATTTTCCAGCGGCGTGCGCACGCGTATTCATCGCCGACGGGTCGGTAAACATTTCTCCCCGCTGAAGCGCGACTCGCCGAGATGTATGTTTGCGAGCGATGTATAATCGCTACTCATAATGAGAGCGCCGAGAGCGCGATCCCGCGCGTCTGGCTAATCTCGTCGAACGTTTAATTCGATTCGCTTCGTGAGCGCGGCGGAACGATTCGATTTCTTTCGAAGCGGTCCGACAGCCTTTCGCAGCGATCGATCGGTGCCCCTCCGCTCGCCCTTTACCCACCCCCGGCATTAATTACCGTTGTTAACGATAATGTATGCGTCGATGATATCCGCCGCGATGAACAAAAAGAAGAGAGGGCTCTTTCGCCGGGAAAATCGAACAGGTGTCGATCCGCTGTGTGATTTCGCTATGCGCGCGCGTGTTAACACACTAACGCGGAAATGCATAATTTAGGCACTTCATGCAACATTTATGACGTATGATTTCCACTTTATTAATCTACCGCTCGAGTTAAATGACGATAGCCAAAGAGAGATCGCGCTCGCGACACGTAATTATTTACGCGCGCTCGGAACTGGACGCGCGAATAAATTATATGTCACCCGTGATCCATCGTGTAAACACACACACACACACACACACACATACACACGCGCGCGCGCGTTCAACCGCGAGAGACAAACCTAAGCGTCGCTCTTCGTCGATTGTGCTCGACGCGATTATGCGGATCGTGAAAAATCGCGTCGCCAAGATACGTTTTCCCGCTCCCATCACGAGCTTTCGCCGACGGCTCTCCGTGTCGTCCGTGTGTGTTACATCGACCCTCCGTGCTCTCTCTCCTCTCTTTTTCCCTTCCTTTCTTCCTGCCTCCCTCTTATTTTCTCTCGCTCTCTCGTCGAACGAAAAATTCGACGCGCGCGACCGTTTCTCTTCCTCTTTTTGTCTCTCTCCAACATCCGATACACGGCCGGGCTCAAGCTCTTCTGCGCTCTCATCACCGACGGGCTTAACGGCAAACGTCAAAGTCGCGTGGGAATCGAATTTTCTTATCAGAGCGCATCTCTCGCCCTTCCAGCGTCATCGGATTCCCGGGTGTCCAGTGAGCGAAATAAACAACGAGGGGAACGAAACGAACGGACGGACGTCGCTCGTCTCTCTTTCTCTCTCTGCCTCTCTCTCTCTCTCTCTCTCTCTCTCTCTCTCTCTCGCGCGCGCGCACGCGCTCGCGGACGCGGACTTAAATTTATACCCGCCGGCACTCAATCCGCACCCGGAAGCTCGCGAGCTTAGGTCATTGTGCCGCGCTTTTCTCTCTTTTGGTCCCCTTTCTTTTTATTTAAAACGCACGAGGGTGCGTGCGTCAGGATTACGTGTGCGCGCGCGCGCCTCTGTCAATGTGTGTGTGTGTATGCGTGTCCGTCATGTGTATTCGTGGTATTTCGAGTGTGCGTGTGCGAGCGAATGTCATTGTGTTCTTTCCCACAGCGATCGCACGCGGATCGAGGATCGAGGATCGTAAAAGATCCGTCGGATCCATTGGAACTCGTTCGCTTCTTGCCAAACTCGCGCGTTCGTCCGCGATTTAACACGTCCATCGCCGCGTCCAGTCCCGTTGATTGTGTCGACCACTTGACTCGAATAAAAGCTACTTGAATCAACGTAATACTCAACACTCGACGGATACCTGACGATACCGAGTAACCAAAGAGTAAATCGAGGCTCCCGCGTTCGCCGCTGCGGCCGTCTTCACTGACGACGTCGGCGGCGACAGAATGCAAAACTTAACGCTTGAAACTTCTGCAAAATGTGTCGCATTAAAAAAAAAAATGTATACACGTTCGTAAAATGGCATTTATCTTTCGATCGAGCGGAAAGATCTGCAAAACTTTCCCTTCGCTCCGACGACCGTTAAACAACCCCGTTAAAATTAACGTGGCGAGGTCACGTGAGTCGAGCACATCTCACGTTAATTTTGCGGGACGTCGTTCAAAATGCGATCGTGCGAATGTCATTTTGCGGAAACATTTTTTTTTCTTCACTTCAGCGCGCTCCTTGCGGAAACTTTGAGCGCGTATTTTCTCGCTGTCGACGCCATCGATCAAGATGACCGCGACGAGGGGCCGCTCGAAAGACACATCTACCTCGTTTCATTAGCTCTCTATTGGCTGCGTACGGCCGAGTTTTCAAATGCAATTAACTATGTTTTATATGCTAACTCGATGAGGCGCGGTGGTATCATAGCTCCAGTCAGCGACGACTGTCGCGGCATTCAGCGTGTTGAATCGGCGTCCTTACAACCTCGACGTGCGTCCCGGTGAAACGTGTGCACTGCCGAAACGCTTTCATCACGCGCTGGCTGCTCATAATTGCGCTCTTCATGTTCGACATGGTCCACCGATTAATTTGTCAAACCTGTCAGGAACGTACGATGGCGTCTCAGGAATTTTGTTTCTTTCGTTTTCTCCTTAAGGGGACTGGATAGTCAGATTACTGAAAAATCGTTTGTTTTTGATAATATTTTGTGACGAACTGAATAAATGTGCAAGAATGAAAATTTTAGGTATATTTATGCAACATATGAAGAGTAGAAAAATTTTATTTATTAACAAATACTCATATAAATATACGATATATATTACTGAAATTTACTCTCCTTTTTTTTTTTCAAGTTGTCGTTTTTGCAATAATATCTCGGCTCTCGATGGCTCCGATCAGAGCGATTTTTAACTAGGAACCTTGAGAAGGCTTATCATTATCCGGTGAACCACTACAAAAAGAAATCGAACAAAATTAACAAAATAGCAGCTATTATTAGGAAAAAATCCAAATTTTTCAGTTCTTTTACAATAAAAAATTAATATCTCGAAATGAAATATTTTGACGTAATTGTCCATGGTACATCTGAGAGCCTGATGAACAGATATTATTGCTTTAAAATTTCAAATCGATACGAAGCTCAGTTTCGAAGAAATCATTGCAAAAAGTTGAACAATAAAATTTCGAGAAAAACGCGTTTAAAATTTAAGTGGACGTATATTTTAATGAGTATTTGTTAATAAACAAAATTTTTCTACCCTCCATATGTTATATAAATATATATAAAATTTTCATTCTTGCAGATTTATTCAGTTCGTCACAA